CCCCCCCCCCCCCCCCCTGCAATACAGTAACCACGTAGGGGTGCTTGAATTGAATCGGCATACTGGGAAGGCAGAGCCTGAAAATAGAGACTGGAAAACACACTGCAGTCACTTTTTGGCGATAAAAAAAGAGTCTTTTTTACAAGAAGAAATCTGTTTCAGGTGAACAGCAGTAACTAACAATGCATTTGAAATATACGAAAATGTTAACTACTATTGTGCACTAAAATATGACTAACGAGAGGCTCTCATAAGTAAACACAAAACAAATGTAAAATGTAAAATCGAGAGAGCGGTTTAAAAATTATTCGCTAATTCGTTAATAAAAGTAGACAGAAATGTTACAAATCCTTCTTTCTAGCAATCCGCTGGAGCTATCTCCATGATCTTTCAAAAAGATTGAAACTACTATGAGGTGAAATTGCATGTCAAAAGCGCTTCGTTTTCTACAGATAACAGCCAAACATAAAGATTTTCCTTTTTTTACTGTATTTCTAACAATAAAAACTTCATCCCAAAATATCTCGATAACGCTCTTAAAGATTCCGCTTAAACTCCACGAACATCGAGGCAGCTATTGGAGGAAAAAGCTCCCCTGAACGATTTTGTAAGAACAGTTTCCGGTGCCAAGAAATATTGCTGCAAGTAAAATAGGTAATGGCGTCATTTCGTTGCTTTGACAACTCCGATGTCATTGCAACGCCAATCATAACAAAAGTTCATCTTTATCTAATGCAATTGCGGTGGCAATTTTTCCAAGTCTTTGTTTATGGCGACGTCGTTTATGCTCAAACTTGGGAGGTATTGACCCTGAAAAACTGTATCGAACCACCTTAAGCGGACCCCAAACTAAGTGAAGCGGACGCGGCAGTCACCTTGTAATTCACCTGCGTGACAGGCGTTAAAAGGAGAAGGAGAAGGGGAAATTCGGGCGCGCAAGGAGCGAGGAGAAAAGGGAACCCTCCTCGCACGCCCAAATTCCCCCTTTCCGCCTGTAACGCAAGCTACTTTGTAACTTAAGCGGACGAATGGTTCAGTTTGTTTTAAACGTTTTTTCCCATGTAAAACTTAACGAACCAGTATTCACCCGAAACCTCCTGGACACCTCTACTAAGGGTTTCACCGTACTACTTTTTTTTTACGTAAAAGCAACAATTCAAAAACATGTCTGAAGGGCAAATGGCAGAATCGTAGACTTTTTATGAGTCCCCAATTTTTCTGTAGGAGCACCGAGACTCGTGTAACAGGTACTCCTGTAAACACAGTCTAGCAATGGATAATGACTAGAGTTCTTAAGACTCTCGTTTCCCCTTCGAAGACGAAGTTGGAGTCGGAAACGTAGTAAATGAAGTACTGAACGTTCTTATTCCGCTTAGGACTTCGTCGATTACGATCTAGTGAAACCCAGGTTGGAGGCATCAGTGAATATGGGGGTGGTCCGAAAGATTCGCACGCCCCCCCCCCCCCCCCCCTTTTTTTTTTTTAAGGTTTTTTTTTTATTTTTAAAAAAAAAATTAAAAAAAAAAAAAAAAAAAAAAAAAAAAAAAAAGAAAAAAAGACAACACCTGCCAATAAACACAACGCAATCCGCCTCCTGTATCGTAAAAAAAAAAACAAAACAAAAAATAAAAACACATGTAAGCAACTC